GTCAGAAAAATTTTGGTCAAAAAAATTTTGGTCATGGTCCAAAACATTTTTTGAGAAAAAAATTGGGAAAAAAATGTCGGGGAAAAAAATTTTGCGAAAAAAAATTTTGGGAAAAAAAATTTGGGGAAGAAATTTTTGGAAGAAAATTAATTATTACATATCTAAAGACTATATAACTTTGCTTTTTACCGTATATATTATAGCAGCAAGGTGTTCATTATCAGCAGCAGCAAAGTCCACAAGAAGTTCATCATCATGGAAAAGCATTATCATCAGCAGCAAAGTCTGGAAGGAGTTCATCATCTCATCGAAAAGCATCATCAGCAGCAAAGCCTGAGCGGAATTCATTATCTTTAGATCCTTTAAATAATAAATAGAGTCAATAATTTTTAAATCAACCTTTTAAATGAGAAGCAAAATCTTAAATAATAAACAAAGGTTGATAATAAACAATGAATATTTAATAAATTGCTATACATTAAAGAGTATACAGCATATCTGAAACATATATGGTATTATGTGATATATATTCTTTGTGGATCAATGCAATCAACTGATTTCATATAAGTAATATTTTGTTCATTTGCAAACCCCACGGATACACCACTTCACTTTTATCTGCCGATTTGCGTAACACTGCACAAATTCTTTACAACGACACCATGGAAATATTACATTGACTTTGTTTTTAGACTGTCAGAATGCATCTTACGATTTTTGTTATCTGCAAGAAATAAAAAGTTTATTTTGAAAGTTGCTAAAATGTAACATTATAGTCAAATTATTTGATATCAAGTATTTATAACAATTTGTATGAAAAATAAAACATCGCACTATACTGAAAGATTTTCTCACGAAGTGCATTAAACACAAAAAATTAAATGTCTTTGATTACTTGAAAATTGTTTTAATTCACTAATTCCTTTTAATGGTTACATTAAGAAATGTTCTAAAATTCAAGTACATATTATTTTATTGTACCTCGCATTCGTATGCTACATTTTCTCTGCCACTTGCTTCATAGATTCGCTGAGTCATACTTCCACGTTATAATTGCACAGCTTCTTGTCAGAGGTGGTAATCTATATAAACAACTAGTAAGGTTTCAGCAATTTGCCTTAATGTAATTAAACGGACTTATTGTTAGAATGAATATATTTTATTTCAAATGCCTCAATTTTTTGTTTGCAAAATACATGCACAATTTTAAATAGTTCATGTAGTATCAACTATACAAATATAGAAAGTATTAAAAAAAAATATTACAGACGTGGGATTCGAACCCGATCAAGTTTTGACTTTCTTATACTTTGCTAAACCCGTATATTTTTCTGCAAATGTTAGAAAATCTTGTCTATTTATTAATAATTGTATATTATCTAAATTATGTAAATATGTTCTATTGATATATTTTATTATTTATATTTGATTAATGCTTAAATATTAATTTTATTTCATTTTTGAAAATGTTTTTAATATATATGAAAATATATTTTTATGAGTATGTTTTGTTATCATTTCACATATTAAAATTTCAGATTTATTGTAACAATATTATATATAAATTTATCATAGAATTAAACTTAAGAATTTGGATTTATCTAGAATTGAACCTAGGGATAAACTTTCATACTACACTCGTCGCGCCTCTATAGCAGGAGCGGTAAATTAAAATTAAAATAATCAAAAAGCGGTCCTGTTTGCCATCTATTTATACTTGTTTAAATATGGTTGCACCCATAGATGTAATTGTAATATTAATGGCCGATTAAACTCATTGTTAATAAAGACGTCGACAATTTAGAGAAATCGACAATGAAAATCCACCAGCAATATAATAAAAGTGTACACTGAATGCCTCTTATCATACCTTTCAAATGCCATTCGATTAGCCGCTCGTGACTGCTAACGGGCACTCCATTTTTCCATTTTCAAACAAGAACTTTTATACGATGCCAAGGAACGCGTTGACAATTTGAACTAAGTTTGTACTTGCACTTGCACAAGCCGTATGTTTTTTTAGAAGTCACCCAATACGAAATATTTCTTGCACCACAATTAACATAAAATATTCCTAAAATACTCACTTCTTAAAGAGGTCTTTCTTTTTGCCATGTGTTTCTAATGGAGTCTCAAAATAAAAAGAACTAAAATGCTCTTAACAAATTCTGACAGGTCGCTCGATGCAATATTATTATATTGACTTGGGATGCAATATGCAATAGATGTATATAAAGATGTGAATGAACAGTAGCGCCAATTTTAAATTTAAATTTTGACTAACTATGAATATAGGGGTCATGGCCGGCAATCTCCGAACAAATGTCTGTATTCTGTATCTGGGTTTTAGTTAGAGCTGCTCTCGCTAGTAGCACTTGTTTTCGTGAATATCGAATTTTTGCAGAAATAATTCAAATTGAAAATTTCTTGTCAGTGATTTTGGTGATTTGTCAAAACTCGACGATATAATAAATGCTTGTTAAACCTATAAAATAATTAATATATCAAATTGCAGAATTTTACAATGCAGAAATACTAAGAAAAACGCAATAGTTGTATGTTTCCTACTAGAATCGATGTAGTATGTAAAATGATTAATAATATTTACGGGCCTTCAAAAATAAGTAAGTATTTTTATCAATATGCATACTTCAAAATACTTGCATCTACTACTACTAGTCTGATATAAGTTTTTATCATAGCATAATAACTGAGACATTTAACAATGCTAGAAATTTTAAGGTTATAAATATTGAAGAATAAAATTGCCGTCAGACTAACCAACTCAATGAAAGGTAAGTTTTTAAGAATTATTTTAGTACTAATAATAAAGGTTTATAATAAATAATTTAACATTGTTTTTTTTCAGCAGTTTTTCTCTTGGAAGTAGTTATAAAACGGGTTTACCAAACACAAGTATTGATATGAGCCGAATAAGCAGGGAAAAACATTAAGAAAGAAATTACAAGCAAGTCTGAAACATGCTGAAATATTTGCTGATCTCTCACTGACATTGAACAATAGTGCTCATAATTATATATTAAGTCGGCTAAGAGAAGATACTGAACTATTAAATGGAAGGAAATTCATGCTTGATGATAAAATTCTAGCTAGTGCAAAGGGTAGATTAGGTTTGGCTATGTTCCATGAAAAATTTGTGAGTAGCGATAGTTGCAAAACAAAAAATATTACAGACGTGGAATTCGAACCCGATCAGTTTTGACTTTCTTATCTACTAACGCGAACGAAAATTGCAGTGACGCGCCAACCAACAAGTGCCTAAACTTTGGCCACACTTCGTACACGTGCGACATGCGCTGCAGGTGCATAAAATGCACAAACGTGCACCCACCGGGAGTGTGCACGAAACCATCAAACGAAGAACCAAAATGCGTGAACTGACAAGACGACCACCCGGCTAACTACTCCAAATGCTCTGCTCTAATCAATTATAGAGCTAAAAAAGATAAAGATGCGCAAAAGAGACAAATTGCATACAGGCCAGCGCCAGCGCCAGCGCCAACACCTGCGCCGATGACGAGGAGCTTCTCGTCAGCTTTACAACCCAACAATGATGGCCATAACAACAGATCTGCCTTTCCTGAACTCCCGGTATCATCATCACTACGTACACCGCCGGCCTCCCAGAATGCATCGTCAAAGATCCAGCCAACACCAGAACCGATCAGGCCAGCATCCTCACGAATCCCGCCTACCACCAGCCAGTCCGATCCAGACCTGAGTACACCAGATGGACTTTTTAGTGCTATTGGTGAGATCAGGAAGTTTTTTGCGGATCCTGAGGTAAAACAAGTTTTCAGTGAGCTTTATAAACTGACAAAGACATTGAACACAAATATGACTTACAATGACAAATATACAACTATAATTAACTTTTTAACGACATGTCCATAAATCACACACGCAACATACACATAATGCACTTCAACTCCAACAGACTCAAAAACAACGTAGACGAACTGAAACAGACTATTACAAAATATGACCTGGATATTGTACTAATTAACGAGACACACCTGAAACCTACGGACAGACTTTACATAAACAACTACAAAGTATACAGGAACGACAGACCGACAAACTCACGCGGATGGGAGGCACTGTGATATTGATCAAGTCTAATATCAGACACGAGCAGGTGTCAACCTGACAGCGGGCGGTTCTGAAATAACAACTATCAATGTATACAAAAGAGGTCAAAAAGTAACTATAATATCAATTTACATCCCGGCCAGCGGACTGCAACTGACGGACGTACAAAACCTACTTGACTCAAATACACACGTCTTAATGGCAGGAGGCTTTAACGCGCAGCATACATCATGGAACTGCAACTACAACAACGTGAACGGAAATCGACATTAGGAATATCTGACCGAACACAACTCCACGGACGCACAACTACATTATCCTGTCCACAGCACGATCGAGTTGGCCTTGACAAAAAATCTACACGTAACATCCGAACCCATAACTAGAACTCTGACCATAACCCTGTTTTTATGACTATCTCTGACTCGACGTCGACCATACTCCAGAACGCAACATTTTAGATTATTCCAGAGCCAACTGGCCACTTTTTAGAGACATTAGTACAGACAATATACGACACACGATACCCATAGAGACCAATACAGACATAGAGGAGGCTGTGACACATCTGAACGAAAATTGCAGTGACGCGCCAACCAACTGTACTCTTTGTACTTTTTCAACTCTCCCGATTGATTAAATGTCATATGTCTTATGGTTTATTTCAATATTATAATGGAAATTGTGATGGCTGATAATTTTGTTCGGCAATGAATGATCGCTAACTTAGGCATGTGACGTCACATATCCGCCTATGTTTGAACACTTTTTACAACGGAAAACATATGAGGTCTAGAAGTCCATGTAGTGTAATGTCTATGGCCAGGGCTCTCAGAACGAAAATAATGCGATAAAGACACGTCTGATCTATATAATATATAGGATAAGGTCTATGCGATTTTGTTTATTTACCTTTGTACGTGCTCATGTCAGAAGCCTAGAAAATGCAGAATAAATTAAACGTAGATAAGGAAATTAAACTTATAGTTTAGTAAGCAACTTTTTACACGGAAAAATTTTGTTTTATATATTGGCCACACTCACTGTGTTAAACCATGCTCACTAGAATACTCTGCTAACTATACGGACATTTTAAATCTATATAATAAAAATGTCAGCATTTGATAATAAGCCTCTAACAGATGCACAAAAAGCAAGAATAGAACGAAATAGGGAGAAGGCGTTATTACTAAAACAAACCAGGCTACTACCACATCCATCAGCTGATATGTAAGATTATCTTGCTTCCTTTAATCAAATAAATTATTGCAACTGACGTTTTACTGTTAAAAGTCAATTAAAAATATTTTAGCAATGCTGAATTAGTTGAGAAAACAACAGTAAAAGTTTCAGGAAGTAGATTTATTGATTCTGGTGGTGGTTTCTTACTTGAGGAATTTGACAATACTGATAAAAATAAATTAAAGATATCTGAAGAATTAGTTTTGCATTTACCTGTAGCATACAAAAACTGTTTGGAATGTAATGAAAAGTTTGCAGAATCATACTTGTTCACTCACTTTGATTATCATGTTTGTGATAACTGCAGGTAAACTATGGTTTATTTTTTGGAGTACCAATGGATTACTATTATAATTTTTATATGCAGAGACAGTGAAGACAAACACTCCTTGATTACTAGAACCGATGCAAAAAATGAATATTTACTGAAAGATTGTGACTTAGATAAGCGCGAACCTCTACTTAAATATATATCTCGAAAAAATCCACATAATCCTAGATGGGGTGATATGAAGTTGTACTTGCACTTACAAGTAATATTTTATTTTTTAATTATATATTGCTATAGTGTTAGGAAACTAAATTTGTCTGATAAGTAACATCATCTTCAGTACCGTAAATTTATTATACAGTATATTCAACAATATGTAACAATTTTATGTATGTATACAATAATACTCACCACTCAAATGATATGGTTAAAAATTTAGTGAATTATAAAAAAGAATTGTTCAGGTTAAGAAAATAGTTCATTGAATTTATCAAATTCTAACTTATCATAATTTATCTAATACAAGCTGCACACTGCAATATTTAATCATTTTAAAATCTCACTGTAGATTGAGAAACGTGCTTTAGAAGTTTGGGGATCTGAAGAACAGTTAATGCTGGAAAAAGAACAACGAGAAATTAATAGAGAAAAAACAAAAATGAAGAAATATAATAAGCAACTTAAGCGTAAGTCAATCTTTCAATATGTAATTTTAACTCACATTTGTTTTACTTTGAGATGATTCTAGAACTTAGAATGAACGTACGAAGCAGTCTATATAACAGAACTTCTGCATCTAGCCATACTCATGCTTTTGGGCCTGAAACTTACAATGCTGATGAAGATAACTATACACATAGTTGTACTACTTGTGAATATGTTGAAACTTTTGAAAAAATGTAACAATTTTTGCATAAATTGTATAATGGTTAACCACTTCAAATAAGAAATAAAAAGAAAATGCACACTGTTGTAATAATAAATTTCTCCAGAATGGTCTCGCATTTGACATGTATGTATAATTTATTCATTATATATGCTTTTTTAGTGCCCAGTCAAAACATTTTTCAACTAAATATAAAATCAGCAATCAAGTTTAATTCATAAGTTGATGTTTTAAAGTGAATTGAACTTATTCATTGCAAAATTAATAAATCATGAATAAACTTAATGAAACAGAAATAAAATAATAAATAATAATAAGCCAATTAAAAATGGTAAAACCAAGTAAATGTGTAATAAGTCAATTCCAAACCATATACTCAAATCAAAATCCTACATTCATTACTGACATTCAATTGGTACCAAACACAACATGTATAGAAGTAAATGATTTATATTTAAACACACTATTTAAATGTTCTAAAAATTTTGTTGGCAAATGTGTGAATATATCTCACATGGCACAAAGTGTAAAAATCATAAATCATTACAGAAAAAACAATATGCAAACTTTGATTTCAAGATTCAGAAACAAACAATTAAAAAAAAAAACTTGTAAATCTTAACTCAATATCCTTGATTAATAGTATTATAAGTCTTCAATTGAAAATCACTTATAAACTGAACCTGATGGTCTAAAAGATCACTGAGTCTGATTTTAAACTGTCTATGAAAAATATTTCATTTATTGTGCATTCATGGTTAATCACTGCTGCAACAGTGGCATCGAAGTATGATCACAGAACTTGAATAGGAGCAAGTTTTCAAATTTGTAGACTTTGCATAACATATATTAACTATATGCAGAAGTTATTCGTTGTATTTAGAATGCATAAAAGAAACAAAAAATTATAAGAGGACAAATATATTTTAGTTCGATCACTTCTACAATGTGTTTTTATTTCGAATTTATTTTTTAAGACATTTCACATGTATATCCAAACTGTTATTCGGAATTGCTACAACTTTGTTTTTTCATTGACTTCAAGGCTCGCTCGCGTAACCTTTTCTCAAGATCATCGTTATTTACAGAGGATTCTGCTAATACTTCAGCTTCTGATGCACTGCTCTCTTTTAGATCTTTCTTATCCTTGATTTTCTTGTGTTTTTTGTGTTTCTTATGTTTTTTTGAATGTTTCTTATGTTTTTTATGAAGCTTCTTTGTTTTCTTACTATCTGCTTCAGAATTACTTGAACTAGGTGATGAAGCTTTAGGTTTTATATCCTTCTTACGTCTTTTCTTAGGTTCCACTAATTCGCTATCCTCCTCAGAAGTATCTCCAGACTTTTTGCATTTTGATTTTTCAACATCAAGTTTTGATCTTTTCATTTTTAGTATTTTAATTTTTTCACGTTTAGATTTTACTTCAGGTTCACTTGAGCTGCTGCTTGATGTTACATCCTTTCCTTGTGCTTTAGAAATACTCTCATCATCACTTGCATCCGATTTTGTTTGTGGTTTCATATTTCTAACTGGAGAATGCTTTCGACTTTCTTTTTGAGAAACTTCTTTTGGTTTTATCTTATTATCCACACTCTCGGTGCAACGATTCTTTGTTTGAGGTACTACTTTACTCAATCTCTTTTTCTTTGCACTTTTTGAATGGTCATCTGAATCTGATACAGAATCTTTTATATTGTATTTCTTTTTATTTAATTTTATCTTTTGTGAATGAATATGTGATGAATCACTATCATCTGATGATGATTCATCAGATGAGGAAGCAGGTTTACGTGGTCTTTTACGAGTTGCTTTTCTTCTGGATCGTTCACTAACAGGTTTATCATCATCATCACTATCACTATCTGTAGAATTCGTTGAACTATTCATTGCTTTCACAGCCTTTATACTATTATTTTTATAAAGTTTATTATTCTGTTTTTTATCATTGAATTTAGATTTGTCTCCAAATTCATACAGTTTTAAAAATGGAGATGGAGTCCTCGACAAGCTACGCAAATAGAGAGGTTTATCACCACTAACTTTCTTTACAGCATCTAATTTCTTTGGCTTTTCATAATTATGCCCTATGACTTTATCAATTTCACTAGGTTCTTTTTTATTTGATTTGCTTGCAGTGGAAATTTTCTTGTATTCCAAATTACCACTTTTCTCACTCATTGATTGATCTTTGCTAGAACTTTCAGATGATTTCCTGTCTTTGATCTTCTTTGTTTCCATCATATCAATGGACCTTACTTTGTTGTGAATACTTCCCCGATCCTTAGATATTTTCAATTTAGCTCCAGTAGTATCTTCTGGTTTATCTCTTATTGTCTTATTATAGTACTTTTCAGGCGACTTGATTTGTTTAACTTTTTCTCTACTTCTATTATCAATTCCTTCACCACGCTTTGGAGAAATGGCTTGTTTCCTGTTCTTATCATTTTGGGAACTATCACGCTCTCTTGAATTATCCTTCCTAACCTTGCTTTTGACACTATTCCTATTTCTATCGCGATCGCGTTCACGTTCCCGCTCCCTTTCACGATCTCGTTGCTCTCTTTCTTTTTCCCGTTCTCGCTCCCGCTCCCGTTCACGTTCCCGCTCTCTCTCGCGATCCCTTTCACGCTGTTCTCGATCACGTTCTCGCTCTCGTTCACGTTCACGTTCACGTTCGCGATCTCGGTCGCGTTCTTTTTCACGGGATGAAAGACGAGATCTCTCAAATCGCGCCTCACGTCCTCTTACATAATCTCTGTCTCGCGTACTAAAACGTGACCGATAGTCTCCTCGTCGAGTTGTATCGTACGTCCCCCGTGCTGCTGTGCGTCGTGGACTTCTATCCCGTGAATCACGGCGGCTGTTATACCTAACAAAATAATATGCAAAAAACAGCATTTTAGTAAAATACAGAATTTCCATCATAGAACTACACAATATAACAACAATTATATTTTTAATTCCTTACATGTGATTTTTTTCTATGAGATCTTTACCATGAATTAATTAGTTATGGAATGTACTAGTATAAATATCTGTATTATAATTGATTTTGGTATGAAATTTTGTTTTTAATTTATACTTCAAATCAGATTTTTAAAATTATTTTTAAGGATTTAAAAATGTAATTGTACTTTCAAACATTAGTAAATAAATCATCTATTATTAATCATGCTGTAGATAGATGCAGCTAGCATAAAATATCAAGTATTAAATTAAATAAAGAAATTAATAGTACTCACCAATCTCTATTTCTAGATCTACGCCGTTTTTTGTCGGCAACATCACTTTCACTGGAAGAACTATTTTTATTGCATCTGTAATGCCTCTTTTTTTGAATGCTGTCATTTTTCTTTTTTATATCAAAATCTGAAAAAAAAACAAGTATTGCATTATTAATATTCATAATAGAGACTTCAAACTACAAAACTTTCAACAAAGCTATTGAAATTGAAAATAGAACTATTTTTTAAAATGAAGCAAAATAGCTGCACCATTTTTTCTTGATACATGCAATCACCTGAAGAATGAATAGCATATTAACTAGTGTGTGTGGCAATGCTCGTAATAGATTATTGATGAAAATTCGTGATTTTGTAAATAATATAAAAATAAAATTAATATTCGTAAGTTTTTGAAATATTGAAGATTTTATAATATACAGACTAAATTAACAAAAAGCTAACATAATGCTATAAAAATAATATTAAATCTTCATAAAACAAAAGTTTTCTAAAATAATATTTTTGTACATAAAATATCACCTTCACTTTCACTGCTGCTGGAAGAACTTGACTGAGCTTTTCTCAGATTTCCTTTAGAAGCTATACTTGAAGAGTCAGATTTAGAGGTTGATCTCCTAGGTTTAGAAACAACTGGTGATCTTGAACTGTGTTAAATTTTTTTTATCAATATTTAATATATTATATTAAACAGTTATATTTTGCCACTAAAATAAACTATAAAAATGTTGGGTTAAATCAACATCTACATTTTAATAATATATGGCATACAAATATATATATATATATATATATATATATATATATATATATATCTTATATATCTTGATAGTTTTTTCGACGTTGAAACATATTTCAAAGTAACTAGCAGCCCATTCGTCGAAATAAAAAAGGTATAAAGTATAAAAACTTTTATTTATACGTTTCGACACAAGATGCGTGTCATCATTCAGCAACACAGGACAAAAACACTCAACAAAAATTTATTTTAAAAAATTAAACTTAATAACAATTAGAAAAAAACATTTTTTAGAAAAAAATATGTATAACTAAAAGATTTGAAAACTAATTTTACTAAAAGTTATGAAATACATCATTGTGAAGCTAGAAGCACGCCCATACCGAGCATCTAGACTAGCAGTCGAGTCTAGATGCTCGGTATGGGCGTGCTTCTAGCTTCACAATGATGTATTTCATAACTTTTAGTAAAATTAGTTTTCAAATCTTTTAGTTATACATAATTTTTTCTAAAAAATGTTTTTTTCTAATTGTTATTAAGTTTAATTTTTTAAAATAAATTTTTGTTGAGTGTTTTTGTCCTGTGTTGCTGAAAGATGACACGCATCTTGTGTCGAAACGTATAAATAAAAGTTTTTATACTTTATACCTTTTTTATTTCGACGAATGGGCTGCTAGTTACTTTGAAATATCTTATATATATAAACGGAGTTCTACAAAATGTTAGGTATGGTAAAAGATGAAAATGGCTGTACGGATTTGGCCAGTCTTAGTCTTGAAAAATACGTGCTAACCCACAGGTTGTGGGAAAGTTGAGATTATTTCAAAACCGAGTAGAAACTTTACATTTTCAATTTGAAAATTTTTGTAGAAGCGTGATTTAAATAAAACAATGGACGTCGGCACATACGTCAAATGTCAAATGATTTTGATGGATCATTTTCAATTAATCTTAATATTGCGATTTAAATAAATATTATTTAATTGTAGTAAGTAGTTTTACTTGTAGTTTTATTTATACACAAAAATGTTATTAAACGGGCCGCAAGTGTTATTAGAAACTCTAAATATCAACTTTTTTTAAATGTTAATATGAAAATGCACTTTTTATGTAAATCATATTTTTGTCAAACTCGGTGCTCTGAAAGAAATCATTTGTATAATTTTATACTCATTGGTATTTGTAAAACATTTTCTAGATTATATTATTTTTTTTATTTATATTGTTTAAATTAAGAACCTAAATTTGGAATCGATCAAAGGGGGACATTTTGTGGAATAACTTATTCCCAGGTATAACAGACAACAATTTAAATAAGAAGATTCGGTTGATAATATATAACTTTGGAACACACACCTGTAAAAATTACAATGCACAAAATTATAAGTTCTCTCTGGAATTAAATATTTTGAAAATTGATTACAAAGCTCGCATGCTATTAAATGTATCAACAGTTCCAGTATTAGAACGAGTTTATCAAAAAAAATGATTCACTATGTATATATTTTTAAGGCTTGACAAATGACCTACAATTTTGAAGGAATTTCTTCCAAACAATATGTCAAAATCTTGCAGTTTGGACACAGTCAGGCATCGATCATGTTTCATTATAAACTACTCTACAAATTGAAAAATATGAAAAACTTCAGCATTAGAATTTTGTATCAAATCAAATCAAACCAATCAAATAATGCAATGTAAAATATAATTCACCAATGGTTATTTTCCACTAATCTTGAAGAATAAACTGGCAAAATTTGCTATGAATAAATCGAAGAATGGATAGTAATATTTGAAGATCCGGGGTTAATAAAGTCCACCACCGATATCTCAAAAACCAGTAAAGGGAGTCTGGTTATTCAGATGATAAAGACTAGAAAGGGTCATGGTTACCATGCGAGAAAAAATAGAAAGGACACAAAATATAAAGTGGAAAAACATGGTGATGACGTGAATATGGTACATGAGAAGCAAAGATGAAAAAATATGATGTTAACATTCTCGAGGACAAGAATTGAGCAGGATGTTACGTATGAATAGATCTTGCTGTTCTATTGTATGGTATAGAGAGAATAACAAACGAGTGATTGATGTAGTAGTGAACATAGAGACCGGTGTAATTAATAGAGAAGGGTGTAATTAAGAGTTATTAGAATTAGTTAATAAAGGAATGAGGGATGTGTTAATAGATGGTTATATATATATATATATATATATATATATATATATATATATATATATGAACACACAAATGCACACATACGTGCGCACACAACTAGTCACACTTGCAGGTGTATAAAATGCGTAAATCACAAATACAAAACAAAGTCAAGTATATGGAATGTTTAACACTATTCCTACCGGGACCGGTCAAATGACCGTTTTTGATTTTTCGATTAGTATTTTTCATATCAAACGTAATTGAATCGTCATCAAACTTTATGACTTTTCCTAATATGTGAGTATAAAACATTTTTCAATGTTAATTTGTTTTTTCAATTTTTATTTTTGGAAAAAAAATTGTATGCTGTCTTACCTACCGCGACCGGTCATTTGACCGGTAGTACGAAAGACGATGTTCGGATGGGATTTTTTGTAGTAATTGTTAAGAATATTTTGGAACTTACAAGAAAATGTAAATTCAGAAGAATTTAGACTGGTAAAAACTGCCTTCTGCAAATTTATATGCATTTTTTTCGATTCTGTATGCGCGGTGCGCAAATAAGGCAAGTAGTATAAATATTGCATTTCTACGGTATAAAAAGTGGGATTTCTCAATTTTCTCAATGTCTATGTATAGACAGATTTTTACGAAGGAATCTAAACAATAAATCGATAGGTTTTGTTTTGAATCCAAAGGTTGGTTCAACTACATTGACAGCAATCAAAATTGTTGTAAAAGACTACGTATTACTATCGACAAACATATATTTTCAATAAAGGTAAGGTGTAAATTCATTCAACATATGTTCAATAGTATTTAGGAAAACGTATAAATATTAGTAACTGTTCAATATACGATGTAAATATAATTATGCCCTGCAAATCGCACAAATGGGGTGTAAAATTTTGGTAACCATCCAGTATACGTAGCAAACTGAGATATTCTTTGAAGATTTATAACTGATGAAACCGTATTATCAAAATCGCTAGTACGACATAAAAATATATATAACGTTTTTACCATCCTACATATAGCTAAACTTTTAGTAAAAGAAAACTGATGGTAGGTACAATTGAAGCAATATAACAGCTATAAATACTGGCAGAACGAAAAATCAAAGACTTCAATACTCAAATAATATTTACAATTTTGGAAGATAAGAAAGAAGATTCTAATTTTCACTTACATACACATATGTTGAAAAAATTACACTAATACGGGAGTTAATTCTATTGGTATTAGCGTCGGGACTGGTGTAGATGCCATTCATAAAATAGTCAGAAATTATTTGGTAAAATATGAATTTTAGAGAGAATTCATCAAGAATTTACATTATTTTGGATGTATTCAGGATAAATCCATTGTTGTTACATAAAGAAATTACGAGAAGACAATGTACAAGGCAGGAACTTTCTATTCCAATTAACTTGTCGTATAGTTCCAACAAGAATTCAGAAAAAAATCAGCTAAGTACAAGTACAAAACAGATTCCCTAAAAGAAACTATTCCAGATAATGCTTTAGAAAAATGATAGAGAAAACAAAATCAGCCAAAAACGTAAAAAATGCGTGTGTAAAAAATACACTCTAAGAAAAAAAATCGTGAAAAATTGGATAAAACAGTATAAAATGTAGAATTCGCATTATAAAATAAAAGAAATATATTGTATTTGTATTTATAAACTCTTAAACTAGCATTAACTCTTCATTCAATACTGAAAAATACCGATTTTGCATGACCGGTCATTTGACCGGTCGCGGTAGGAATAGCAAACATGAAATGTCGGTAGGAATAGTGTTAAGTACAAATAAAAACTTTGAAATCAATCTTCAGGTATTTAATCTATGTCATTTCAAATCATATAAATACTTATGTTTGATGAAATTCTTGAAGGCGTATTTAAAATGAAGAAAATAGAAGAGAAAAAGTTCAATGTATTATTCCGGGATTAGCTCATGAGTAGCGTTCCCGACTCACACGTTCAGAGTTCGGATCCCCGGCAAAAATTAGAAACACTCTTAAAAAAATAGTTTGAAGTAATGTTAACAATAGTTTGAAATAGTATTAAAAATAGTTCAATCGTGTATAAAAAGATTTGAGAATATAAATTAAATTGAATAGAAGTAATGAAGGAAGTAATGGAATGGAAGTAAAAATAGAAATAATAAAGAAGAAAAAAGAAGAATGAAGTTACGTTGAAGAGTACATAGAATAGGATAGAATATAAAATAGACAGAAGAAGAATAGGATTTATATGTGGAAAATAGTGTGAGCATGAAGATTGTATTGAAATTGAAATATGTTGTAGGTGGCTAAATGCTCGAGTAAGCGAGACCAATAAAAATAATAATAAAAAAAAAGAATTGGATTGAAAGTATAAACATAATAAACTTATTTATATATGATAATGATTGTAGTAATAGTATTGAATAAGAGCTACATCAATAGCTTAAATTTAAAAATGAACATACCGAGATTTTGATTGACTGCTGGACTTGCTAGAACTATCCTTGGATATAGATCGACTTCTAGACTTAGTTCTTCCTCCTGACGCCATATTAAGTAATTTTGCCTGAAGCTTTGACATGGAATCCGTGTCCTCCATTCTTTCAGTCATTTTGTGATTTTCATTACTAACAGCATCACCACTATTCAAAGCGTGACGCGTCATATCGTTTTTTTCAGTAGAAATTTTCTTATCCTGCTTCTCGTCGACTAAAACAGGATCATTTAATATTCCCTCTTTATCATCAATACGATTTTTTTCACCATTAATATCTGTCGTAGGTTTAGACAATTTTGTTTTATCAACATTGTTGACTAGATCTTTTTTATGATTAATTTTATCTTTACGTTTCCCTTTAGAATGCGAACGCGAGCGAGAACGTTTTTTGTCTCGAGTATCTCGAGAATGACGATCACGGGAAACACTATGCCGCCTGAAATTAAAATAATAAATAATTTTTGATTACAATAAAAAATATATTAAAACTAGTGGAGTGTATGGCATCGTGCCTTAAGGCAAATTGCTGGAACTTCCCGTACCGTAACGAAATGTTCGAGGAATATTGAATGTTTTCAAATAGATTATTCTAAATATATTGTAACATTGTCTAATATTTATAAGAATTATATAAACTGAATTGCAAAGTTAAAATTATTTGTTTAAAGTATATTAGAACTTTAGTCAGAATTAAAAATAAAATCTGAATTATTTTCGATATACAATTTTTTTTTTTTTTGAAAAAAAAAAAAAAGTTGAAACTAAATTTTGTTTCCAAAATCAATTATTTTGTTAAAACAAGCAGAAAGTTCTTTGAATCATTTAAATCGGACGCTTAGTTCTTTCAAAAAATGCCATTTTTTACACATTTAGCTCCGTATCTTCGAAATGGCTGGGCCTGCCTTTGCCAAAAACTAATAAACACTTCTATCAATCATTACTAATTGAATGTTTTTTAGATCATTCAAATCGGATGGTCCGTTCTCTCAAAAACTTGATTTCTATTTTCTGCACTCTTTGCTCTTTATCTCCGTAACTGTTGGACCTGCCTTTGCCAAAAAACTAATCAGCACATCTCCCTATCAATAGGAATCGAATGTTTTTTGAACCATTCAAATCGGTTGATTCGTGCGCCCGAAAACGTAGACGAAAAATTGTATCCATACATACATACACACACATACACATCTATTTTTTCTGAGGTATGCCAAAACGTTCAAAAACCTTCAAAACGTCGAGAAATGTAAAAATTTTCAATTTCGATTTTCGGCCCATTACAATAACTTACCCTACGGAAAGTTAATAAAAGTTTTCTTGAACAAATCAAATTTCATTTTTGTGGATCTGTAAGAAATCTATACGATATACTTCCAAACTTACTACAAAGTATATTTACATATATATATATATATATATATATATATATATATATATATATATACATATATACAAAAACCTAAGTAGATGCTATATAAAAATGTAAACACTTGGGATGGTCATAACACGGTTCGCATTCATTTATACTTAATCATTTCGTAAATTCGCTTTAAAAACAATCAGGTATGTGACACTAGGGTACTGCTAAATGACATAGCAGGCAGGTGTTGCTCAAGGAGGAAGGTAACTGTGGGCTAAGACTATAGTTTGAAACTTTAGAAGATTCATCGAGTTTGTACTACCTAACACAAACCAATAAATTCTTGTTTTTTATTTATATTGCACGTTTGATTACATATAAAGGCTGCATAATATAAAGAATATGATTTTTTCAATTGTAATATCTCGGGAACGGTGATTTTAACGAAAACAAGTATAATAATTTTGTAGATAAATTTATAATAAACAAATCTGTCTACACATTTTTTGGTAGTTTCCGCGAAAAACGAGAAATATCAGAATTTTGTACCTTTGACCTTGAATAAAAAAAAATCGCAGAGGTCGGATCGATGGGACTTTTGATATTTCATTTGTAATGACTTATTTAATATATGTCACAACTTTCAGCTCTATACGACTTTTTTCGAAGTGGAATGTCTATTTCGACTGGGCTAATACATAAATTTCGAGTGTCTGTGACTGTGAACGATATTCAAACAGCTGTCTCAAACTACATGCATGTGAATAAATTATACTGTACGTATACCAAATCAACATTTTTTTTTAATTTCAGTTATTTCGTTTTTTAAACTTAACTAGGTGTAAATTGCTTATTACCGCCTAAGGGTCGGCATAATCAAAACGAAATCAATAAATTAAGTTATGGGTAATTTATAAATATACCGAATTGCTGTAAAGCATCATATCGTAAAAAACTATAGCAGATTAATCAATTTTGTACACATGTGCCAAACGTACTAATTATTTCATACAAATAGTTTGAAGATTAGAAACTGACCAACAAAAGTGCTTATAACTTTCATAAAATGTCTTAAATTTTTGAAATCTGTTTTAGCTGTTTTTAAGAAAATGTCGACGAAAGATTTAATTTTGACTCACGTTAAAAAAGCCTATTTTTAAAACTTTGATAAATCTTTAAAATTAAACGGCCTGTAGAGCCGTAATATTTTAATATGTTCTTATTATAACCAGCAACTTTTTTTCATAGCATCATAAGAAGTTTCATAAAAATCATCGAAAAAAAAAATTATTACGAAGAAACGGTTCGGGCGATCTTTACCAGAAACTAATCAACACGATTCCCAACTAATACCTTTCGAATAGTTGAATTTTCAAAATAGATCTAGGATTTCTGGCTGAAACAGACAAACAATGTTACACCTATCTGCTATTTACAAAAGAAACGGCCTGGTCGATGGTCTGGCAAAACTAATCAATGTGAATCCTTATCGAGTTACATCAAATGGCTTGTAAAAACGTTGACAATCCAAAGGTCAAAAATGCGGATTTGGTATCATTCGATACATATTGACTTGAAACGTCGGGAAAACAAAATTAACAAATCGGATTTTCTGGCGACAACATAAACTCCTTTTTCGGTAAATTAAAAATCTACACAGACAAATATTATCAGTTCTTGTAATAAACTAAATTTAGAATAATACATGACAGGAACTTCAGATGTATCAGATAAATCTACTCGTGTTGATCAAGTTGGTCAGAGCAATAAATCGTTCTAATAGCAGGTCGTTATCGAAATCATCAAATTTCCCTTTTGAATTTAAAAGTATGCACAAACTGGACTCACATTCGAACCCATCAATAGTTGACATTACTCAACCTTTTGGCATAAGGAGATTGAAACGACAATAGCCTTTAGACTTAGTCTTAGATTAGGTCTAATATAATATTATCATATTAATTGTAAAACTGAGAAGATCTCATTGGAGTTCTTCTTTAGCATCGCTCTTAAATATTGTCATTTTAGCTCATAGGTATCTTTATGTATTTCTGATTGCTAAATAAAACAGAGATAAAAAAAAGTATGCAAATTCCGATGTGTCAGTTATGACAATCAACAAGTATCAAGGATAAACGTTAAGCAAATCTGGTATAAATTTAACTAGAAGTTGTTTAGTATCTATATACATAACGTGCTCAAGCGCGAAGAATCCAAGTAGTGTTGCCAAGAAAATCGTACGCTATTTTTTAATATAAAGAAATTTTTCAATAAACTAGTACAGCAAACTGACTATAAATGGCAATTACAATAAAACTACGAAAACTTTTAACTTCTTTATTAAATTTCACGCAAACGAAGTCGCAGGTACAGCTTGTATTAACTATAATCGCCTAGGGCAGGTTCGAATTGGCTAATAACGTTTTAATAGAATAAAGAAATATTAAAACAAATGTACATGGCAAATTGCTGGAACTTCCCGTACCAAAAATTAATTTTTTTTAAAAAGCCTTACCTTTATTGAATTAAATGAGATTTTTGAAAATTTTGAAAGAAATGATTTTATTGAACAATTAGATTTTTTTTATTTGGAATTTTTTTGAAAATTTTGAACACTTTTCAAAGCAATCAATCGTGCTGAATGGCTGTTTTAGCGAATAAAAATCAACGCGCGTAAGCGCCGTGTCGCAGTCGAACAGATAAACATTGGTACGGAACCCAAATGTAATCAAAATTTGTGCTTATTTTTAAAATTTCTGTAAAATACCATTTTTGACCGCCAAATAGGTTATTTTTACTTTTTTCACGCGACCTCCGAAGCCGCTAAACTTGCCTTCCAAAAAATGATCAGTTCTTCATTTTGTCAACACAAGTAAATTTTTTTTGAATTATTCAAATCGGACGCTCCGTTCTCTATGTATGTATTTTGACCCTTTTCTTCGAAACGGCTGGACCTGCCTTGTCCAAAAACTAATCAGTACGACTCCTTATCAATAGGAATCGAATACTTTTTAAATCATTCAAATCGGTTAATCCGTGTTCTCGAAATCGTCGAAAAAGTTTGTATCCGCACCTACATATACACATACATTTTTTCTAAGGTATGCCAAAATATTCATAAACCTTGGAAACGTAAAGGTATGCAAAGAAAATATTTCCGATTTTTTTGCGATTATTATAACTTATCCTACGCGAAGTTAATAATTACAACTGCAATATTTATTTAATAAATAAAATGTCTAAATAAATATTAACAAAACAAAAAAAATACAATGGTGTATGAAGTATGTAGCAGTGGCGAAATAATTTTATGAATCAAAGACCCGTGTTCACGCTTAGGAAATCAATTAGGGCGATATGCCATCCGACAAAAGTGTGTTAATACCGTCATTATAACCGGTATTACCAGTTATACCAAAATACTGGTATTGAATTTGCATATCTGTATTGCATTCCCTAGTTATAACTACCAGTGTAATGCAGCAGTCAATTAGCATACTTTTCTCTACACGCTACTGATATAAATTATATAATATGTATTAATAGATTTTATTCACAATTAAAATAAATGTGAAATATAAATCATGAGCCTTTCTACTTTTACCTTACCTTTCTCTACTTTTGTCTCGCCTTCTATCCCTATTCCGATCACTTCTATCTCTTGACCTGTCCCTGTGACGAGATCTCCCCCGATGATTTCGGTCGCGCGACCTGCCTCTGTCGCGCGATCTGTCCCTGTCGCGCGATCTGTCCCTGTCGCGCGATCTGTCCCTGTCGCGCGATCTGTCCCTGTCGCGCGATCTGTCCCTGTCGCGCGATCTGTGTCTCTCCCGAGATCGCACACGAGTTTTATCACGTTCGCGTGATTGCTCACGTGATTTAACGGCATCATTATCTTTTAATTTGTCATTATCTTTATCTTTGAGCTTGTCATCATTAAAGTTTTTGTTATCATTTTCATTATCAGTCCGATCTCGTTCTTCATCTTTATCTTTATTCAGCGACTTCTCTTGATCTTCCTGCAATAAATAAAAAAACGAGTTGTCGTAATGCCGTAATATTTTATTATAATCTATAATAAAATGGTATCTACCGTCAAAAAAGAAAATCGCCCGACCGATCTTTACTAAAAACCAAAAAACTAATCAGATTCCCAACCAATATCTTTCAAAAAGTTTTTGAATTTTCAAAATCGATTCAAAATTGCGTGATAAAAGAAAACGGCCCGACTGATCTTTACTAAAAACCAAAAAACTAATCAGATTCCCTACCAATATCTTTCAAAAAGTTTTTGAATTTTCAAAATCAATTCAAAATTGCGCGGACGAATTTTTTTTCACTTCTCTATTATTTGAAAAGAAACGGCTTGGCCGATCGTCGCACAAAACTGACAAATGATAGTCCTCATCGAGTTGCATCAAAACAAACTTCTCCTTCAGTAAGTTAAAAAGTAATATATATATATATATATATATATATATATATATATATAGTTCATAAATAAAAATTTTGCAACAAACATTTGATATATTTCATAAAATATTTCAGTTGTCGCTAAGTTATAAAACAAAGGAAATTTTACCCATGTTATTTCCATAGAAACTTTGGTTGGAGTGCGGACTATCTCAAAGTTAATATTAAGAGCTAAATCTTGAGAGAATTGTCTCTCATCAATATATATTTTGATATATGTATCTTTTCTGAACAATAAATCGGATAAATGAAAAACAATTTGTTTTTTGTAGATATTTAATTAAGAAGAATACAGAATATTAAGTGAAAAAAATGTTAATATATAGGAATGGATTATGTACCAGACAAAAGCAAAGTAAGGTATAATCCATTTGTCTGGTACATAATCCATTCCTTTATATTAAAAAACTTTTTTACTTATAATTCTGTATTCTTCGTCAATTATAGTGTTAGTCTATATATAAAATTGTTTTTGATAGAAAAAACCTGATGATGGACGTATCTATTTCCGAAACGTCGTAATTAAACATATACAAAAAACAAATTGTTTATTGGATTTATTGTTCGGAAAAGAAACATCTCAATTTATTGAAAAAATCCAGGACTATATATATATATATGCCATTATATATAATTAATTGATAAGGCTGGTAAATTTGTTCATATTATGCATTGTGATTTGAAAAAGAAATACAAACAAAAACAAAATTTGAGAGTAGATTACTAATTTTTGACATTTCAGAACTAGGTATGTCCGTCCTTCTAGTTTTCTGTCAAGTATAGTGCTCACTAGATAAGAAAAAAATATTTATAAAAATGAAAACAATCAAAGTAAATGAATAAAATGCATATAAAATTAAAAAATCCGAGTGCTACTAAAAATCACTTAATATTATTAAATGTTATTATGCCATTCACATCTCCGTAGTTAAACATTTCAAAAAAATTCACCCATTATGTTATGGTATATGTCGAATGAAACTCCTATCTAGTATCATAATAACATATTAGTATTGCTACATATTAAAATTTATTAGACCTTAGATATCAGGTTTTTGAACTTTAAATTTTCAAATAAACTGTAAAATAATACATTTTACTGTACATAACAAATAACATTCAAATTCCATTCTCGTCTATCTCTCAAAATGAACATTTTAGTTGAGGGAATGAAAACCCGCTTGGCCAAATACATATCTTCTCTATGCCTTGTTTCTAAATTTAAGACTCGATGGTAAAGCAGTCTCAATTTAGTCTAAGTGGCAGAAGTTTAAATGATTATATCCTTTCAAAATCATGTACTCTATTGATAATGAGGTGCACTTTCCCTAACTATTTCAATACACAGAAACAGTGTTGTTTCCCCTCGTACATTATATGTAAATTTTTTTTATTGACGTATTGGCTGCAATCATATTCAATTCATATCAAAGTTGTACCAGACCTTGACGTCAAGCGAAGACAGGGTAGTATGAACCTTAACTGTCTCACAATGTTTGGAAATTATGAGCTTTTAGGAACCTAAAGCTTTGATGACATTATGACCATTTTTCGGTTATTGTAGTTAGAAGATCAACGGCTAATTGGGCATATATACATATATATACAGATAATATATATATATATATATATATATATATATATATATATAAATATAAGAAAGTGATATGGTGTAAAAACTTACATGTAATTGTAATATTCCTAATTATTTCCTAATAATAATTGTCCACAAATGCACTAATAAAAACAATTCTTGACACAAGAATTAAATTGAAACAATTATATAAATTAAAGTGACAAGAATTATTTTTATTAGTGCATTTGTGAACAATTATTATTAGGAAATAATTAGGAATATTACAATTACATGTAAGTTTTTACACCATATCACCTTCTTATAAATTAGTTTTAATTAATAGTTTTAATCTGTGCTTTCAAACTAGTGTCCACTGAAGATGACACAAAACAATGCGTTGAAACGTATGGAAACGATAAAAATGTTATAAGTTCATACAAGTTTTTAATTGATGTATTGCCCTGAAGACTGAATCTCACATATCTCAACATCAAGATTATTAAATTTTAACACACACATATATATATATATATATATATATATATATATATATATATATATATACACCTAAGTCTGTTTTTACACGGTCTTTTTGTACACGGTTTTGATATAACACGGTTTGAAAATTGAATATTTTTAATTTTTTTACACGAATTTATTCCATTTAGCACGATTTGAAATTTTATGTACCTAAATTTTTTTTGTCAAATTAAATTTTTGCGAAGTATGTTGATATCACAAAAAAGTATTTATGAAAGAAAGAAGTCTGAAACCATCGATAGTATCGATAGTTTGCGAACACTAGCTTAAAGATTTAAGTGAATTCCCCTTTAGCGCGTACCAACAATTTTTACTGATCAAAGCAAATGTGAATAGCACTAATTTAGGGGAATTATTATTAAAATAAACATGAATTCTTGTTCTTGAAAATTCTTGTTTTTCACCAATTTTAATAGGTTTTAGAGATTAGGAACAAATCACCCATTTTTGTATAAGATCAATGTCTTTTTTTACACGTTTTTTTTTTTACACGGCTTCTTCTGGAACCAATCTCCGTGTAAAAACAGACTTAGGTGTATATATATATATATATATATATATATATATACAAGTCACTTTACTAGAAGTCACATTCATGAGATTTTTCACTGGTTATAATATATACATTATACTTCAAACACTAGCATAAACCAATATTATTTATATAGATACTAGCTGTACCTCTCTACGTGTTGCCATGTTTTACTCTCAATTAAAAATTTAAATGAAGGTAAATGAGCTACATTAGGAGAACCAGTGAGTCAAATGCCCCACTGAACATAGTTTTCTAAGAAGTTCAATTTCTGATATTCACACACATGTAAGGACACTGACTGTCTTTAAGTCTTAAAAAAAATGTTGACCCATGAATACTGATCTACAGAAATCTTAGATAAAATCATTCTGTATTATTCGGATATTCATCTTTTAAATATTGACTCAGACGTACATGTACTATTTTTCCTTGTATATGACTATGTATTCAAAAAAATCTCTTCGTTTGGCAAAACCTTTATTCTATCTGACGCCAAGGTTCACTTGATTACAAAGCCCCCCCCGACTCGGTAAAAGCCTTCAAGGTGACCAACCCCTACCACTCGGTTTTAGTAAAAATATGCAAAAACCTGTCTGGGGATATACCTAACAGTTTCCCAAATTTTCACAGCAATCAGATGTATGGTTTATAAATGCATAACAAATACACACATACACGCAGGTATGACTTCGCCCACTTAAAAGATGAGTATAAAACAAGTTAAGAATTATAACATTCTAGATTCTCCACCCATGAAGTAATGCCTAACGGCGGTTTCCGTGGGGATAAGAGGCAAGGGCAAAGCGGAAGTTTTAGTCAGTATTATATCAGAACGGTATTGAGTCCGACATACCCAGACAAAAGACCAGTCTGGAATGCATAAAGGCATTTCCTTCGCTATACAAAAAAAAAACACACACGCAGGCATATAGATTATTCACAGATAATTATGCATTCATAAAACTCTCGGAAACATACATAAGGTGTGTATCATTTGCATATAAAATACCAAAAATACATACCATTCTTTTCTTAATTTCTTCCTTTTTTTGATCTAAAAATTCTACTGGAATCCCAGATTCCGTGTCTTGAGCAGAAAGTAATAGGGCCCACAACTCATCCATAAATTGTCGAGCATTTTTTCCATTTAAGAAACCCGTCATGTTAATTTGCATTTTTTTAGGACAAGGAAACTGAAAAGAGTATCATATTGCTTACACATCTATAAAAAATTTATATAATAATGAAAATTTTCAGTATAAACTGTTGAACATAAACAAAATTAAAATTATATTAAGTATAAATTAAAATATAACAAATATATAGCAAAAATACATTTATAAACTGATAAATAAATCATATAGAAAGGAATGATTTCAATTATGAATTATTTCAGTTATTCTGATATAAATCATCATTAATATCCAACTTATTATAAACACAACTTAATGTTTTAAATTATCATGCATATTTACATTTTATAAATAAGTGATGATTAGTTTTGAAAAGAAAAGAAACTAAATAACGGGTTGACACCACATAATCAAATAATTACAGGTTGTAATTTACTGGTATTTGAACTATGCTACTTCCATAAATAATATTTGTGAAACCGAACTATTGTACGAATCTAATAGTAAATATTGCTTTCACAACTTACTTGCACATCTAATTGATTGTACACAAACTCCACAACAACATCATCTTCAATGTGAAGCAGATCAGTAATTTTTTGCGTTATCCAGGGACGTAAAACATCAAGTTTTACTTTACTCATATCAACCTAATATTGAATCAATGCATTATTTTTAATATTCTGAGAAAACGACACACAATGAAAATATGAGTTTACTTAATTACATATTACAAAATTCATGCTTCCAAATTAAACAGGTGAAAGAACTAACCCTTTGACTCAAGCAATCCCCAAATTTCATTTGCTTCATAAGTTTCTTCTCCTTGTCACTGAATCTTGTATCCTGTTGGGTAGTTGTGCCCTGACAAATATACATCAATGTAACAATAAATCCTTATAACTAAAATTAAGTAAATAGCATTTAGGACTACATACCGTATACATCATCTTGATTTCGTTTTCCTATTAAGCTAATGAACAGACAGAGCGGCAAAAATGTCACACAAAATCGGTTATTCAGTACAATTTTTGTATATAAAAATTATGCTATAACTACTAAAGTCTTATAACACTTCACAATACCAAAATTTATCAAAACTTATACTTAACATAGAAGTCAGTCAACTAAAAAATCCAATCATACTTAATTAATAATATAATAATCTACAATCGGTATTTTCGAGACTTTAGTTGATGGCTGTCTCGTGCGATAAAATTAAAATGGCGTATACGCGTCGAAATTTTCTGAAAGGTGGCGCCATCTATTAACGCATAAGGTTTTTCGAGCAAAACTTCTTTCAGAAAAGCATATGTCATGTCATGAATTGTTCATTGAGGCCACCACACGCTATCTTGCTGTGACGATCTATTCTACGATCTACACACGATTTTGGCTTTATGACCAAAATATTATAGAACATTATGTCCAATTATGTCAACTGTTGAATACTTTTTGCGAAAAATTCGGATACAAGGACCACTCGGACCATTTAATGATTTTTAATTCTGGCATTTTTGAGTTCTCAAATATATATACTCTAATTGATTAAGTTTTGAAGTTTTGTTTACTGTAGTACATCAAATTGGTGTTAAGCAAAATATTACTGAAATTCACAGTTTGTTATGTATTCAATGCATTATATTTCATAATTGATATGCTTTAAATGAAACAATCTAATACAACCTATAAATAGTATGTCACAACTAACTAAATATTCTGAATAAATTAAAAATAAAAGTTTGTTTCGCATTTAGAATACAAAATGTCAGTATAAAAATCAATTTATTAAATAGCATGACACGTAAATTCAAAAATTACATAAATATAAAAGGTAAGGTAAATATCACAGGAAAATCAAACATAATAAGGCAATTGCGTTAGTATTCTTCATCTGCTGACTGTTCACATTCGGCAGAGTCTGCAGCCACCTCTTCGTAATCCTTTTCAAGTGCAGCTAAATCTTCACGTGCTTCAGAAAACTCTCCTTCTTCCATACCTTCTCCAACATACCAATGTACAAATGCTCGTTTAGCATACATCAAATCAAATTTATGATTGAGCCTTGACCAAGCTTCTGCAATTGCTGTTGTGTTAGATAACATGCAAACTGCTCGTTGTACTTTTGCCAAATTTGCACCTGGCACTAAAGTGGGAGGTTGGCAGTTGATTCCAACTTTGAAGCCTGTCGGACACCAATCCACAAAATTAATATTTTTTTTACTCTTGATAGTAGCAATTGCTGTATTAACATCCTTTGGTACAATATCTCCTCGATATAACATGCAGCAAGCCATGTACTTTCCATGACGAGGGTCACATTTCACCATTTGATTAGCTGGTTCAAAGCAAGCACTAGTAATTTCTGCTACTGATATTTGTTCATGATATGCTCTTTCTGCAGAAAGAATAGGCGCATATGTTACTAATGGAAAATGTATCCTTGGATAGGGCACAAGATTGGTTTGGAATTCATTCAAATCCACATTTATAGCTCCAGAAAATCTCAAAGAGGTTGTTATTGATGACACTACTTGGCTAACCATGCGATTTAAGTTTGAATAATTAGGTCTTGGTATGCCTAGGTTGCGCTTACAAATGTCATAAATGGCTTCGTTGTCGACCATGAAGGCACAATCCGAATGATCCAAAGTTGTATGTGTTGTTAATATTGAATTATATGGCTCAACAACTGATGTCGATACTTGAGGAGCAGGATATATAGCAAACTGTAATTTTGATTTCTTCCCGTAATCAACAGACAAACGTTCCATGAGCAATGAAGTAAATCCAGATCCCGTACCTCCACCAAATGAATGGAATATAAGAAAACCTTGTAAACCACTACATTGATCTGCTAATTTTCTTATCCTATCTAATACTGCGTCTGCCATTTCTTTCCCAACAGTATAATGACCTCGAGCATAGTTATTAGCTGCATCTTCTTTGCCAGTGAGAAGCTGTTCTGGGTGATACAGCTGCTTGTAAGTTCCTGTACGAACTTCATCTGCAAACATTTTGAGTTTATAACAGAAATACTATAACTTAAATTACATCATAACAAATATCATTCACCTATAACTGATGGCTCCAAATCCACAAAAATAGCTCGCGGAACGTATTTCCCAGAACCAGTTTCGCTGAAAAATGTGCCAAATGAATTTTCGACCCCAGTTTTATCCGCGGGCATTTGCCCATCGGGCTGAATATCATGTTCCAAACAGTACAACTCCCAACAAGAATTTCCCATCTGCACACCTGCTTGTCCAACATGTATTGAAATGCATTCCCTCTGCAAAATAGTAATAATAACAATAAAAAAAAAATAATCATGCAATAACTATGAAAAATGTACCTACAATCAAAATACTTACCATTTTGACGGCTGACGAGAAGTAGAATGCTTGCTGACTTAAAACTGAATGCAATGGAATTCAGAGAACGACTAACGAACGTGCACCAAATTTCTTGAGCTTATATGCATGAATGGCGGTAAAATTAACCGTCATACATGGCTACCAATGTTTAAAACAGTGGCGTTAACTGTCATCATTTGACAGTTGTTAATCATATTTAATGTTGGTAAACTATAACTATTTACGTCTAGTCTAAGCATAGATTATGGATTATACTTTTTTTCGATCTATTAGTCTAAGCATAGATAAATTTATTTATTTATATTTATTATGTTGTTGGTCGTTACTGCAGTTACCTTAATTGTAGTCTTAGTTCTAATAAGGCACGTTTATGTTTATTTATCCATGTGTTTATCGATCTATGCATGCATCATCATCATCATCACATATGTTTACTTATCTATGCATCATGCATCTGTCACGTGTTTTTAGCACATAGTCTTATCTATGCTTTAGCACATAATTTTACCACTTGAGTTAATTTTCCGATAATTCTGAATATATTGAATATATGAAATGGAAACAAAATAGACAAAGTAAAATTAGTGATACAAAAAACTAAACATTTATCATAAATATGCAATTTTTAAATAGAACTTAAAAACTATCTCGGAGCATTTATATTTACCATACCATTTTATCTATTATATGTATAATGTGAAATCAAGTGGTAAGGGCTAACCATACCGAAGACCAATTGTTTGGACCAATTTCAATTTAATTTTTCATGTGTATTTAAAAAAATACTTATAACACTAAATTTAACCACTTCACCGCAAACCTCTGTTTCGTAAAAATCATAGTAATTACATCATTTTATATCTGGGTTTTTGCCAGTGAATGTTTTTGACTCAATGTTACATAAAAATAGGTTCATAAAGGACTGGCCCAATTTAATTTACAATACTCAAATATATTTATAAGTAAATATACGTTGTTATTTTTAAATTAGATTCAACAGTTTTGTTCTTTATAAAGCACTATAAAAGCTTACACGTGGGGTAAACAGAAACAACTAACAACTCAATTCAACTTTACACTGTCAAAGTGTAAATAATAATATATTAGTAATTAAAAAAGTATATTTAGTTAAAAAAAAACTTTTACAAGTGATAAATTAGATTATTGTTGTTCCAACTCTTCCAATGTATATTTTAGTAAAGACTTTGTGTCCATAAAATTTGTATTTGGTCTTAGTTAAATAAAGTAGTTGTTATTTCGTTAAATCCTCTTAAAATTGAAAATAAGACATTGTATGTCTTTGCTTTCTGTCTAAATATAGAAATAAACGTATTTCTCTATTTAGGCAATAACTAGGAAATTTTCTGAACATATTTCGATAGTTGTTTGTTTGTTATGTGTCATATGCTGTGATATATGTTGTCTGGTTGCCACAGTATAATTACTGAAATTCAACAAATAAGTTATATATTGCAATGCTGAATGGAATATTTCAATCGATGCATCTAATACAGCTCAACAACAATCAATCACGAAAGATATGTGCGCTATTTTCCATCTTAATAAATAGATATCAGAAATACAGAATCGTATTTTTGATTAAATCAATAAAAGTCTTTAAGCTATTTACATTATAACTTTTTATTATAAATAAGTTATCAATATTTTGTTTCATAAGTGTTCGTATTTATTCAATATCCTTAATGTGCTGTTAGAAATATTTATCTTCCAAGTTGATCGAAAACCAAACCTTACCGGGAATGTAATTTACTTTTATATTCATCCAGCTTTCATCCAACGATCTATGGAATACTCTAAAGCAGCCACCCAGCTATAAAATTTTGAATATTTTAAACATAATTTTACTATTATCTAAAAATATTTAATCACTTTTCACTCAGTACCGTTTTCTATCCATTTCTGATTCTGTATGAAATAATAATGCCTTTGTCTAGATTCAGGCGGTGCTAATTCAAATGCATGTTTTTTACCCCCAACTGTTGACGGTTGTACTTTATATCCCTGAAGACATGCCATTCCTACAAATAATTGAATATATATATATATATATATATATATATATATATATATATATATATATATATATATAGTAAAGTATTAAAAGTTACATTACATACACACTATTTCATAAATATAATATTGTGTAAATGTAGTATTGATGACAAAGCAAACTACAATCGCATTTATACACGAAGATTTGAAAATAATATTTCAAATCGTTCGTTTGTTTGTGTTGTTTATAGTATATAAAATGCATAGAAATCCCAAAATTGTATTCAAAGCTACTATTGTCATTACTCTTACATTTATTAATAGAGCTAAATACTTTAGATCCAATTACCAAATGCCGTTTTACTGCTGCCATCTTGATAGAAATAAAGACATGCATCTTTGAGAACGCAGTATCGCTTGCTCCACGACCTCCACTTTCCTCCTAATTTCATTAGATATCCGAAACAATCAGGACGAGAAATACAAGCTGCTGGAGCCCGCAAACTTCTGCGTGACGTCTCCAACCACGGATCTGTTTGCTCAGCTGCATGCGATATTACAGCGATCCATCTTGCCATATATAAAAGTTTGATTTTATTCAGTGATTAAATTATGAATCGGATTTATTATTTTTTAAATTTTTCTTGCAATGTTACAATATATTTGGAAAATCAAATCAATAATATTAAACAATATACACAAATTTTATCGCAAAAATCATAGTATCGGACCTTGCGGCAGCTTCTTCTGAATCCGCAGCGAGTTGCAGTGGAGGTGCTTCTTCTGAAGATATGCGGAAAGCATAGGCTT